GACAGCTTCTTACGGGCAACTCTCCCGACTTTTCAGTGCCGACAATATAGAGGTTTATTTTGTTTTAAATATTATGTATATATTCTTTTCAACTTCTTTAAAACTATTTTGTTAATCATTAGAAGTTGCAGTTTTTATGTTGCTTGTTTTAATCTTTGTTAGAAATTTAGCTTTCGTGAATCATTATAAGTTTCAACCACAACAACAACAACAACAACAACAAAGCCTTAGGGCCCGTTTGGGGCAGCTTATTTAGGTGCAGCGGCATTTTGAAAACGCAGTCGCTGTGTTTGGACCAGCGTTCGGGTGGCTTAACTATACCGCACTACGTCTCGTTTCGAGTAATTTCTTGAGGTCTTTGACGCGGCTCTCGACCTGCGTCCCAGCGTTCGATCGCAAGATTTGCCCTAAATATCCCTGAGCTCCCTTGCGCTCTCCCTCCCTGGTCGGTGCCTGCGATTGAATTTCTTCTTACCCTAGAGGAGATCGGCCCAGATTCCTTTCAATTTTTCTGTCTGATCGTAAGATATGCTTTATCTCACTTTCATTCATAAAGGGATCGATAGTCGCTGGCCGTGAACGGTCGAACATCGTTGTGCTTTGTTTTTTTTCTTCTTTCACGGAAGAGCAAGGGATTCTTACTGAAATTTAGTTTCGGTTTTTTCTGTTTCCTTAAGCTAACTCCCGAATATTGGTTTGGATTTCTTCGTTCCAGAAATTTTGGTTTCGATTTTTTTTGGGCTTTACAACTTTCTATGAGAGGAATCCATGCTAGCTAAGCGTGAAGAAAAGCGTGGAGAATGCAATTACGAATTTTGGTTTTTATTTCTTCGTTCTAGAAAGGTTTCGGTTTCTCTGTTTCAATTTTTTCTGGGCTCTAGATCTTTTTATGAGATAAATCCATGCTCTTATCTATAGTTTTATGTTAAGAATGACAATGGTTATAACATTGGACAATGTTATAGCATTAGAGCAATGTGAAGAATGACAATGTTTATGGCATGCAGTTATTTTCTTTTTATAGGAAACATAGGTATGAGATTGGTTCATTAGAAATTCGGGAGTTAAGTACATATAATTTGACATTATTTTGTATCTAGGTAACAAATATTGCTCTTGATTGGAATGAAACATTACAACATGTTCCGTTCATCTTTACTCAAAATTTTGTTTTCTATCAGTGGAGTTTCGGTATCATCTATAGCTTTGATGGCTGTATCTAGAGGTATAAAATTTATTTTGGTGCTAAAGGCTTTCACCAATGGTTGGGAGCTGAATGTTACTGGTGTTAAGCAGAGCTGCAAACTGTTGTTGGGTTTTTCGGTTTTTCTGTGATCCATTCACCATTCGTTTTTTTGCAAATATGATATGATCTATTCACATTTCAAAATTTGGTATGTTCCATTCTCTTTTTAGCAAATATCAAAATGGAGGAAGAATGAAAACATGTTCCATTTTTTATTTTTTTTCTAGAAACTTTTATTATCACAAAAGGGAGAAATGGTAGGGTGAATTGAAAGTTGTATTGTTCTCCCTTAAGATGGTTTTATGTAACTTGATAAAATTGCATAATAAAGTCTTTTCGATGCCTTACTGTGGATGTTGGTCATTGACCAAAATACATAATTCATTTATGTCCTTATATATATCTGTTTGTTTTAGCAAATACCCAGACTGTTTTATGTATTGGTGGCAAATTCATTGAATGGTTCATCGGATTCTTACAAATCAACCATAAATTTTTTAGAGAATTGGGAGGCTAGGTGACCTTTTCCATGACTCCTATAGTAGATAGCTTCAATAGTTTGTGCGCTTGCAATTTGATCATTTTTCTTAGGAATCCTATAACTTGTATGATTAGGCTTAATTAGGGGACACAACAATTACTTGAACCTGATGGGCCCACCTTATGGTGCCAGATTGATTGGTATTATTTCTAAAACAAGTGTATAGTTGCCTTTTCACATCTTACGCTTTATGATCAGTTTGTTCATCATGTCTTAGCTCGAGTCTCACTTATATCTTAATATCAAAACAAAGATCACTTATAAACTTAACACTTACAATCCATGTTTCTTCTGGTACATCACGGTTTGAATTTAGCTCTTCAAGTTGGTTTAGATATTTATTAATAGTTTGATTGTTTTGTCTTAAATTTATCATTTAATCAACTATTCTAGACTCTTATATTAGATTGAAACTCTTGTCTCTCTCTTTAGCTTTTGCATAAGCCTAAGTTTTAATAGGGCAGTCATCAAAGTTGTCTCTGCCATGTTGGACTCCTAATTTATATCTCTACGTTGCACAGACTAATTTAATTTTTCCTATTTAACATAGCCATGATGATTTGTATGATTTCAATCAATTAGATCTTCTAAGTTCTGATATCTAATAAAGAAAAATGTCTGGACCATTTCAGCCAGTAAAATTAGGGGCATCAATTGTTTCAAATTCACATGCTGTTGATCACATCAAGCACTAGTTTTTTTGCAGTTTATGTATTTTTTCTTTGGTTTTTTTCATTAGTTAGTTAATTTCATGTATTATTTCTGTTTTTAGAAAAATGTAAGGGATGATAGTCGTGAAAGGTTGTTATGGTAGAGGAAGGTATTCACTAATTTTAGGTTTTTTTTTTTCTTTTTGTTATTGACATGATTTCAGGCTGGATTTAGTTAGAATAATTCACACAAAGTAAAGAAATTTATGCAAGAATGTTTGCTTGGTACAAACATTCAATTTTTCTCGGTCATTTTTTTTTTCAGTTGGGCATATTGATTCGAGATTGTTACTGTAAAGCTATGATTTTAAAATTATTAAGAAAATTGGAAAAAGAATTGTGTGATGGAATGCTCTATCTATGGGATATCTGGCCTTGGGTACTTTTTGCACAATATTAACCTGGAATTTAAATTATGGTGGTTTTACCATCTGGGTCGTTGGTTGACATCCAGGATTGGTGTGGTTTAACCAGACAACAACATGAAATGTAACTTTTATTATTGAAATCAAATAGGAATCACAATCAAAACATTTGAAAATAGGAAATAAAGAAAGACACGACTCAAACTCCAAACTAGGGTTAGATCAAAGGGTGGTGGAGGTGGTCGGTGAAAATCTGGAAGGTGGCTAATTTGTGGGTAGGGGCCGTTAACAAGCAGAAACAGATGGCAGTTTTTTCCCAGTGCCCGGACAGCAAGCAAGCAGTGGAGATCAACGTTGAGGGGCTGTCCTGGGTGGTGGCAGCAAGGATGGAGGTAGCAGTGGCACGGAAGAGGCATCTAGCGGCATGCACAGAGGGGGAAGTTACTGTCCAGGGTGACGGCAGCAAGCCTGGATGGCTGAGGAGGTCCGAAAGCAGCTGGAACAGCAAAGACTTGCTGTCCTGAGGTAGTGGCAGAAGTAGGGCAGGAAGGAAGGAGGCCGGTGACGGCCGCAATTGCAGAAACAGAAGGGGAATGGCTTGGACAGCAGGAAACCATCTGGACTGGGGTGGTTCTGCAGGAATAAAAGCAAAGGGGTACTGTCGCGGCGGCCTACAGTGAGGAGGAATGCTTGGGAGTGAAGTTGGAGGGATGCGGAGGAGTGGGGAAGGATAAATCACCACCTCGGGAGCGAGGTATAGCTAGCGCACCACTCGACATTTGGAAGTTAATCACCACCTTGGAACGAGATATAACTGGAGCACAGCTTGACCTTCATTGCAATGCTAGATGGAGAAACAGGGCCGCCTATGGCTGTCTGAACGGAAACACCACAAAACTGCTCTAAAACATAAAAATAACATACTTGTAGGCCTAGGGATAATAGGAGTGGACTTCACTCCAAATTGGAGGAAAATCCCTGCTGAAAGGACCGGCCGGTCCTTCTCAAGCTTGGACCGAACGGTTTAGATGTGCCAATTGACGCACCGTCTGCGGAGTCTCGGTCAAATATTTTTTTCAGTTGCGCATATTGATTTGAGATTGTTACTGTGAAGCGATGATTTTAAAATTATTAAAAAAAAAGAAAAAAAAATTGTGTGGTGGTATGCTTTCTCTATGAGTTTTATGGCTCTGGTACTCTTTGCACAATAATAACGTTAAATTTATATTATGGTGGTTTACCATCAGGGTCGTGGGTGAGGGTGACATGCAGGATTGGTGTGATTTGAAAGTAGTGGGGATGGATGCTGTGGATTGCCTTGGGAAATTTTTTTGTGGCATTTACGTACCACACAACTGTTATGTATTTCTGTATTTGACATCTAAACTTTCACTTTTACTAGTAAAGCACTCAAATTATAAACATCACCTAAAAAGTGTCACTATCACTAACTTTTAAAAGTGAAATAAATCTTCTCATGCATAGGTTTTTGACACCAAATTGTTATAAATGTAAATATCTAATTTAAGTGTTATATAAGTAACTATATAAGGTTGGCGTGGCATGTAAGTTCCCTTTTCTTTTTCGTTTTGGATTTGCTGAAGTCAACTATTCTAGGAGAAATTAAAATTAAATTGCGTAAATCTAAAATTAGTTTGAGATTGATTTTTTGCCATTCTTATTTACTAATTTAGATTGTAAGGAGGCTATAAATAGTTGCTTGAGATATCATAATTTAGAACCTCTGCTTGAAAAAAAAATTCAGTTTTAGTTTTTAATTTTTTGAGTAGGTTGGATGTGTGAAATTTTAAGCATGGTACCACTGCAACTACTTCATTTTGGGGAGCTCATCTTTTTGCACTGGTTTGAGACCATATTTTCTCTATTTGTAATATCTTGTATGTCATATCTAATTTATTAATTGGCTCGTGTATTATTATTGATTTTGATAAAAAGTTCTAAATTTGTAAATAAAGATTTATTTTGCTCATTGATTTTATTTGTTTTTAATTTTCTGCTTAAAATTTTTATTCTTTCTGATATATTTTTTATCTACTAGCAACCAAATGTCCCCCTAGGTGAATAAATTCACTTGAGTACCTGTCTTTTCTTTTATTCAACGCTCTTTCTTTGTGCAGTGTAAAGTCTATTGAAATTGCCATGGGAGAAGGTAGCAGTGAGATTTATGTGCAGGCTGATGGTGAACATCTGGGCTTTCTTCCAGTAAAGTTTTCAATTTTGCCTGCTGCCATTGATTTTTTAGTCTAACTGTCTAAAACTAACTTATATATATGGTTTTCCTCTTTAACCGTTTCAGATTATCTGTTCTAATGAAATTTTGTTATTTTGATTTTGTCAGTTGTTTGTTCTTATAATTTACACCTGTCAGTAGCCAAATGAAGTCTTGTAATTTTTCTTTTATTAATCATTCTGTAACAACTAATGAATGTTTTGATTGCTTTTTATTTCACGGCAATTACATACAAACCACCTGAAACTTTCCTTTTCATCCATTTTTCAAATGCTCACTCAAATATCAACATTCGTGGTAAAATCCCAACACACTTTTTTTATTTTTACAAATTCTCAGTAGTTTGATCGTGACACTTATAAATACATTGGTTCGACAGTTCAATAAAATCACATGGGTGGTTAATTTAAAATATCAAAATTTCTTGTTATCTAATGTAATTATCCCTGCTTCACGATTGGTCTATACCCATTGTTATCATAATTTGTGGCTTAATTTGAACCATGTAATTCACTAGTGGCAATCATATGAAGGTATTTATGGTATGTGGATAGGATTGGTTTTTTTCTTTTTTCAGATTTGAATCTTAGACCTTCATTCTGAAGGTTGAGGCAATATCGCTCGGCGATTTGGAACACACACACACACACAAACAGTTTATAAGTGTTAAGCCTTGTAAATTAGTCATGTACAAACATATTGAGCTATTAGAGTTTATTTGGAGTAGTTTTTTTAACTGCTTTATTTCTCAAATCATTTGTTATAGATCCATTTGGCTGATATTTTCTTACTATATTTCAAAAATTTGTGATAGAAAGCTATTTTTGAAAATCAGATACGATAAGAAGATTATAGCTGTGAAAAGCTCATTCCTTTTCTTAAAAATGAAAATGTTTATAACATGTACACCCAATTTTTTAAAATATTATTTCACTCATAATTATTTTGTAACCTTCTTTATGAATCTCTAGTCCTGATTGGACCGTTAAGCATGGCTAGGGTATGTTTGGGGCAGCTGCAACTTATCCTGCTTTTCTAGATAAACAATTGATCAAGATAATTGCTGATCAGCAGCTGATCCGAATAAATTGGCTGGCTGTTTGGTTTGTACATTTGGAAAATAGCTGATTTGTAACTGTTTCTGGATAAATGACAATTCTGCCCCTGTGCAATAGTGATGTTTGTAACAGAACTGTCATGACTTGTCTTTCTTCAACACAAATTATTAATCTTTCTTTAAAATGAAAATATTATTATCATAAGATTTACAAATAAAAAACAAGTAAAAAATAATAATAAATTTGTCAAAATAACAATTCTGGACTTAAAAATCAGAACTAATGTACAATACCATTGCACTCCATTAGGTTTACTTGAGCTACTCCGCTCTACCAACATAAGTAGTAGCTTCTGCCATTGCTAGCCAACTCAACCAATAATTATCAATTAAACTATTATCTGGTTAAAAGTACATGTATCACCAGGCTAATCTTTTAACTAGCATGATTCATCCCCAACTGCAACAATTGTTCATCGTTGAATCCACCAATAGAATATTTATATTAAATTGTGTTACTTTCTCAAGTAACTTGTGTAAAGTCTTTGGATCTCTTCTCAACTTGCATTAGTTAAGATCTCATCCACCTTACAACATGTTTACACGACATGGCACATTGGTTTGACCATTTAATCCTACCCCATGAAAAAATTGCCAAAAACATTGGCTCAATGCAAGAAGTGGTTGATTATGAAAGAAAAAGAAAAAAAGCTACCTTACAATGTTCCCACTTGATAAGAAAATGACATTGTAAAAGTTGATTACTTCCTTTTCTTTGTAAACACTAGAACCTAAATATCTTAAGATACCTATTAAAATATAGGGTTCACATTTAGCTTTGGTATAACTTGTTTTCTCAAAGAACTGCAAAAAAGAAAAGAACCACAATCTGTGAGGAAGGTCAACTTAAAAGATGTTCTTTTACTATCTTCTTGTATGAACATCTTCATCATTGAGCTCTCCCTCTTAAGAATCCCAACTTGAACAATGCCTTACAAAGCATTAAGACAATTAAACTCGACATAACTTTTGAACCTAAAAATCACTCCTTGGGTTTCAAATAACTTCACCCCAAATTGAAAAAAAAAAAAAAACAATCTTCTTTTTCGAAGTTTAATTTGAAAGCATCTTTCGAGGGCTGAACTTAGCAATTGGCTCAAAATTTCTGTTGCAATTTATTCACATGATAATCATCATCCAAATCCAACTGAATATATGAAGAAGGCATTGCCATGGAAGAAAGAAAAAGAGAAAAGAACCAAAATCTGTAAGCAATTGAACACAAAAAAGCAATAAATTCCAATTGTAATTTAATTTAAATACAAGATGGCATATCACCCTTCCCAACGGCTACTGAACTTGCATCGGGGAAGAACGATGTGATGGCAAGTTGACGAGTAGGAAAAAGAAGCTTAAGCCAGAGGAATCTCCGCTGCTTTCCATTTTATTTTTAATTTAGAAGGTGGTCATTCGAATAGGAGTAAAAGAAACAGGAAAAAATGGGCTTGCTAACCTAATAAATATGGTGGATGAAGAATGCTCTTCCACGACATTGTTCCGCGACGTTGCAGCGAGAGATCGGAGTGGAGGCTTTAGCAGTGGAGAAGTTCTCCTATATAGAGGGGAAGCAACGCTGTGCGATAAGAAATAATACTTCGAACACAAATTCAAGATGCGGGCCGCGGGGTCGATCCTGCGGCCACTTCTATCAAGGAATCGAAAATGCCGTTTTTTCAATAAGCCTCCTGAACGCTTTATCCAAATAGCGCGGTGACATTTTCAAAACGCCGCTTAGCCTATAAGCTCCCCTAAACAGATAAGCTTGAGAATCGTAATTATTCAATTTTCACTTTCAATATATTTCAAACATCATTATCATGTAAAATGTTATAATGTTTGCGTTTTTAATTTTTCATGACTTGCATTTTTTTTCTATCGTGTAAACTTTAACTTAAAGATGTCTTCTTTTTAAACGGTGTGATGCGTAGCTTTATAAATTTATCTGTTGGGTATTGATGGAAATCTTTGCACTAAACCTCTAGTCATCCTTGATGCGAACTCTTAAGGGTCGTCTGCAGCCACTGAAGTGTGCATATTGAGTTCATACTCTAGGCTCTTACTCTCACACATATGGCAATGTGGCATTTTAACAAAAAAGAGTAAAGGCTGTAAATAAATTTATGATTTTCACCTAAAGAAGCTTGGTTCAGTTCTTCTGTATTATTTTCATTATTTTTCTGATATATTCAGACTACCATATGAATATTAGAAGCCCACTTTTGTAAAAGGTGTAAAACTGTCGAAGGAACACAAGTAATTAAAACTAAAAACAAAGGCTTGTGGCTTTGAAACTTTAGAATCAACACATGCATGTTATGAAACCAATTCAATTTTGGTGCAAGTGGTCTCACTTGTTAAATTAGATTCCAACTCGAGGAACTTAACATTTGGTAATCTATTCAGAGAGCTTTTTAGCCATCTTTCTAAATGTTTCTTATTGCATTTTTCTTTATAAGATTGCATCTCATATTACAAGCTGGTTTACTATTTGAGATGCTCTTTAAGCATAATAGACAAATACTTCTCCGTAAACTCATCAAAATTGTAAAATTGGAATTATGGTCATGTTGCTCGATACAACATGAAATTTGTCCATAATTAAAAAACTTTTTTGGATAACCTTTTTGCATCGCACATTGATCATTATTGTGCTTAACTATTTAATATAATTTTTTTCACAGGCAATGATTTCAAGAACATGCTAACCTAACATGTATCATATTTGTCATGTACATTTCACCATTTGATGACTTCTTTCTTACACAAGGACCCTTCCAAAAGCACTTGGCATCTTATAATTATTTCAACATGTTTTCAAACATATGCATTTAGGTATGTTTTGAACTCTAGTGTCAAAGATTTTTGGTTCACCTTTTTTTCCATCTGAAAGAACTATTCGACACATACTTAATTTAGTTTCATTGTTGATGCAAATTGTTGTAGAATTTTTCCTCTTTTTTATTCTCTTTTTAGATGAATCTTTAGCTCAACGATTTTACTATGTCATTAAAGGCTGACCTCGAAGAAGAGTAAATAGTTACAATAAATCACTATAAAGTTTTTGATTGTTATTATTTTGATGTATGATCTTTTCAATATGGTGAAAATTTTTTCAGAAATGAATTCATCAAGGTCCCCTAGGATATGCATGATGGCCCTATAGTGATTAACAAGCTCATAAAGGATGAAGGAACCATCTTATGATTCTATAGTTAGCAAGTTGGACTTCGTTTCTAATGAGTAAATCTGCATGAACTATGAAAGATGTCATTAAAAGGAGGTGGTGGTAAATTCATTATGTTTGTTGGGTTGTTGTAAGCATTGGGGAGGGAGAGGGATAAGCGAGTGAACGCAAGCCAAGCGCGACTAGAATGCAAGCTAAGCTTGGGATGCGAGCTGGATGCAGAGACGAGTTGGACGCGGGAGGCGAAGACTCCTGCCCGGCCGACCCGACTGGTCCAATGGAGAGCCGGTCTAGAGTGAACCTGAACCGAGCAGACTGGGCAGGACTGCCACTCGCTCCTCTCCTCTTTCGCTTTTTTACTTCTTCATTTTGAAGTATTATGTCTAATTTTGATTATTTCTTGCCTCTCCACTCCTTCATTATGTGTGGGAGTCTCCTTTATTTATTTCTTTTCTTCTTCATTTAAGAGTATTTATTTGTTGTTTTTAGAGTTTAGGGGAGTTTTGCTGTGTTTGTTTTTAGAAATCATTTGTGGAGTCTTTTTCCTCTTTATGTATCTAAAGAGGTAGTGGTGCTATGCCTGTATCCTACTCGAAGATAGTGATTGTATCTCCCCTTTTGCCTTCCCTTAGACCTTTCCAAGCCTACCCCTTAGCTGCCTGCCACTCCGATCCTTCCCTAACTCCGCGAATCCACTTTCCAGCCCCTCCAAGTCTGTTGTCTAACTCTGCAACCAAACTTGCCCCCCCAACACTCCATCCTTGTGGCTTTCACCCCGGGGCAACAAACCTCTGTTGTTTCTGTCATTTCCGCCCAATTTTTTGTTGTCACCACACTAGACAGCCAACCCTTCCCGCAGTACCTCGCTCTACCTTTGTGGCCGCCTCCCCTGCTAGCCATCCCGATCCACTTAGGCAATCTCTACTGTTCTTGGGATGCATTTTCAAGGTGTTGTTTGCATCATTTTATGTGTTTGTGATGTTATTTTCAATTTGTATTGTCGTGTATCCCTATTTCCCAATTAATAAAAATCGCATCGTATGTTTCTACTATTTTCCTAATAGTTATGGCATCACTGATTTTAAGAGGAGAACGAAGTATATCATAATGTTAAATTCTTGCTTCCCTCTTCATCATGATCATTACTGTCAGTCACATCAGCCTATATCACTCATGCAATTGTTTCAATATATGCTAATCGAAAGGGTCACATTATCCTACTAAATTTTTTTTAAATAAAAAAAAATTATTTTATTTTATAAAAAAACGTTTCATTCAAAATATTCAATAATTAAACTTTATTCTTGGAAGAAAAAAAATAGTCAATTATCATTATGTTATTATTAAAAAAATTATATAAGCATTATCAAATATATTCTATTTTTGAATAAATATTTTAAAGATATTCTAATAGCCAAATAACTTCCAAGTAATTTACTTCCCCACGTCATTCCTCCTTTTCAATGCCCACGGAATGTAAGGGCCATCATTAATATTAATATTAATATAATTGTCGTAAAATTAAAGACTTTAAGCTTATTTTAAAATTACTAAAACTATTTATAGATTTATCGCATCTTAAAAGTAACCAAAGACTTTGAAAAATCCAAATACAATTTTATTTCCAACATCTCAAACTCAAGGAAGGTGGCCGCGCATAAACCCCACGGCCCCACCTCAGGAAAAATTATTCTATACGAACACCGTGTCCGATCTCCACCATTCATCACAGCAAAAATGTATGACAACGAATCCTACTTTGATTTCTTTTTTTTGAAAGAATTTACTGTGATGAACGATAGAGATCGGACACCGTCTACATCCCTGCATATAATGTCTGTACGAAATAATTTTTTCGACCCCAGGTCACCCCTCACAGCCCAATAAAATCTTGCAAAAAGTCATAAAAAAGTACTAATTATCCATTAATTTGGGTTATGTTCAGCTTAACTTAATTTTCATGCTTTACAAATTACTTTAGAAGCCCCAATTTCACTCAAATATGCAATTCTCATAAAATAAATTGTGAAAGGAAGGAAGGTATGATACTTACCCCTTGTTATCCAATTACAAAAAGGAATAACATATCCATCCTGCATCAAATTTATAATTGAACACTGAATTTCAGAAGCATAAATCAGAAAAACAATTAGCTAAATATATAAATAAATTAAACAGAAAAACAAAAAAAAAAAAAAAAAGATTGAAAGAACAGCATTTCAGAAGCCAAAACCTTTGCTATTACTCTGCAATTAAAAACAAACTCAACACTAATTTTAATACAGCAATGATCACATATCTACGAATTCTTTAGCCTAAAAGCAACTCGGTATTTACATGCATCAACCTCAAGAACAAATATACAAGCCAAAAAAGGTTACCGTTCCAGCGGGTTTTGTCAGATTTGTACAGAGGAAGGAAATACTACCAGACTTCCAGGGTTAGAACTGCCAGAGAAGTTGCTTTGGATGATGGTGGAGCCTTTCAAGCAAACAGTTTCTTCTTCAAATACCATAAACATACACGCATTTATTCCATCAGTGGGATTTATATACATATCACAAAATTTTTGTATATTTACATATAAAACACCAAAATTTTGATATTTATTCTGTTTGGATGTGATTGAGTTGTTAAAAATGTTACACAAAATAAATATCAAAGGTTAAGTATTAGATATGTAAATATATAAAAATTAGGTATTTTGTATGTAAATGTCCCTTCATTATAAAGTTTTACTGCTCGGCTTTCACCCTATGAAGAAAAATTAAGGGGAGTGAGAAACTTGGGTGGAATAAATGAAGGAAGTTTCTTCAAGAAAAAGAAGGAAGAAGAAGAGAGAACTCACAAGAACGGGGTGTTTAAAGTTTCACCAGCTTTAAGCATGCCCTGGCTACTACTTGCTTTGCCTTTCTCTGCACAGGCATCATACAAAGACAGCAGTCTTCTCTGGAAGATTTTATAGCTTTTTTTAGAATGTGATAGAAAGTGCAATAACAAATCTAAACCAAAGTAAATATAATAATTATAAACAAAATTAGCACATGTTTGTTCATTAAATAAATTATAATTGCGTCTGTGCAAAAGCCGCCAAAGGGGTGCAATGAAACAACCTGACTTTTGTTTAAAAAATATTACAATAAAATGAACTTAAAATATGTTAAAATTTAAGAGTTAAATGACGAAATTATAAAAAACATCTAAAATTAATATCTCACTTCTAAATATCAAATAATTTCTTTTTATCTCTAATTTTTCGCTCTGTCATTTTGCAATAGCAATTACTTAAATCAAAACCGTTCTTTTTCATAATAAATGAGTCAGCTTATGATCCAATACAAACGAAGGGGGTGTTTGGTAGTCCCCTATTAATAGGATTTATCGTCGGATTTTGCTAAATCCAACCAAATATAAAAAAGGCGCAAGTTCCATGGATTTATGAAATTTCAAATTTAAGATCCGAATTTTGCCTTCAATTCATGTAAAACTCGAATTTAATAAATCCAACAAGAGGGTGGATTTAATAAATCCGGATTTATTAAATCCTACTAACTCTAAATCCTTCCTGCTGCCAAACAACTCCTAATAGAATTAAGGTCGTGCTTGAGGTTGAACTCGATTGATCATTTCAACTCAGTGTACACTTAACACGTGGAATATAATTCTCTAAATGAATAATGGCTAATTTTGACGTCACAAAATAGAAAATATCTAGTGTTAATGTAAGCAAAAATTGAGGTAATATGCTAGAAGGTAAAGAACATAGGACATAAAATGCTGTGTCTACAAATGACAACCCTGAAAGTTGGAACAAGTTCAGATTTGCAAGTTTTAAGACACTCACATGGTCTTCAAAATCAGGGTTTGTCAGGTTGAGGCTGAGATTTCCCATCAGCAATAAAACCTGGACAGTCAAGATTCAAAAGTCAATGATTCGAACAAAAACCTAAATCACCTAAATGAATCTTGAAAGTTCAAATATCATAAGCAGAAGACAAGTATATTCATCAATTACAGCATGAACAATATCAATTCCAAGTTAATTTACCAAAAAACAAACTTTCAAGTACTACAGGCGCATAGTATTTGCAACCAACCACCAAATTTGAGTGTTCTTTTATTTATTTGTCGGACAACCAAATATCAAAAAGTGAGAAAAATAGTTTTAAACTTATCCAGCCACTCGTAGGAATAACTTGCGCCGATGTGAGTAAGATAAAATAGTTCATATTTGGTTTAAGGCCCTTAAACCTGATAATATGCTTTTACCAAAGATTGTTTGCGGGCTAGCCAATGACTAAGATCAAGAAGGAATGGGAAGACCTAGTATTGTGCTCCAAGAAAACTTTTCCCCTTTTTTTCCTGTTTTATATTTTTTTCATGAATGGTTGAAATATTGTTAGAATTAAAATGGTGCCCAACTATTTCTTTGTTTTTGTTTCACATGAAAAGGTCATGGCAGCCTAAAAATGTTGAACTGACGATTGTAGGATTTATGGCTTGTTAAAGGTTGTTCGAAAGGGTCACTTCAAATAGAAGAACAAAAATGAAGCATCTAGCAGCAATAAAAGGATAAGAATAATAAGCAAAATCAACAGAATAGAATAACAATGAAGACAATGACAGAAAAAGAGAACAAAGATAAAATTAGCTAAGTTAAAGGCACTGGCTAACTTGAAAGCGGTTTCAATTTGAAGGGCACAGATGATTTAAACAAAACAGGAGATGGCTTAATCTGAAGTTTTGCTTTATGTAGAGTTGTATTAATCTTAAATAACATCACTTTGCTGATACAAAAGTTACTTCAAGAGAAGCATGTTTGTAAAAAATGAATTATGGCCAGCACAAGTGGAAAATTTTCTACCCATTTACACCCAAGACTCTCATCAACATCAAGGTCTCGGAAAGGAACGTTTGTTCGTAATCTTACCTCCTAAAAACATTTTTATATGCGCTATGTGAGCCCATGACCTCTATCTATATCATAATGAGCAATTCTACTATAACTTGAAAAGCAAAATAATATATTACTGTTGCTGGCCATTCACGATAAAAGCTGCATCATAATGCCACAATTCTCATACATAACAGAACTTCCATCATCTCATATTAAAACCATTTTAATGATAGAAAAAAAAGAAACCTTCAAGCAACACAAATTTGAGGGAGCTAAATTTTAATCTAAGTACAAAGATGGCATACTGTTTCAACGTCGATTGGGTCCATTTCCATCAACTTCTGCAAGTGACCTCTTCTGCTAGGATCAAAAATACTTCCAATAAAGCTGTACACTTGAGCAAAGTCTGGCATATCTTCATAAAGAATAAAAATTTAGAAATAAAGATTGGGCAAATCAAATGCAAGTAAATAGGAACAAATTTAAGAAAATATAAAAGAAGAACACAAAGAAAAACAAAGCAATAATATTAACTATGAATCAACACACGTCAAGAAGACTTCGATGCATGTCCGAGACAAGCAGAACATGAACACACCTCCAACACACTATAATGCATACAATGTATTTTTTTTTTCAAAAGGAGTGTCAAAATACAGCTTGGCCACATTCTGACATTTCATTGACACGCGTCAACAAGGACAGGACATGCCCCAGATGTTTGTGATGATGATTGTGACTATTTTGATGATTAGTTACTACTCTTAGAGTATATGCTATTAAAGTTCAACATTTTCATATTTTATGTATGGTTATTTTGAAGGCTATATACTATCCATTTAAGTTTTTGGCATTTTGCATAAACATTGTAATATTGATATTAAAAAAATCACCTGAAGTGATCATTTTACATTGGTAAAATACGAAAGATAATATTGTATCAATAGGATGTTGAATCATTCTTTTTATATAACACACCCTCGTATTTTTGAGCATTAGATAAAGAAACCAGAGTTCCCTATCAATGAATTCTACCAAATGTTAACATTTCATTATATGTCAAAGGGCGCAAAAGGGGAGCTTGCAACCATTGAACTATGCAAAGAGTATATATTAGATGCACATATTAGTCAAAAATATTTATATCATTACCATTAAAAAACAATTCCCATCAATTCTTTTATGATACAATGAGGAATATTAAATGCATAGATATTAGCAAAATCTTAATTTAGTAAAAAATATTACTAAATATGCTCTAAAAAGTTAATATTGCAGCAATAGTAACATTACTGTCAAGGATAGTACACTTTCAGTGCGACTAATCTATGAACCTAGATCATTCTCTTTTTGTAAGCCAGCCACATATGTCATCTATATTACATGATTATGAGCACGGATACTAGGATATCCAAGTCCTGACTGCAGTAATATTAAACAGGATCATGAGTTGGGATCCGTAGAAGTGCACTAGGAGCATAATGAGCGTAGCATTTGAATAAACAAAGCTCATGTTTGAAAATATGTTGGTTAGGCCACAGCATTTATAGGTAAAAGGAAAGTTTCTATTCAAATAAGTTTTTTTTCTAAAATGAAGCTAAAGAATTGAGAAGTAGAGATAAAACCTTACTTCCATTATTGTATCTTCCGCAACATGAAAAATAAAAGAAGAAAATTTCTTTATTTCAATATCACTATTCTCTAGATAATAACGCTAGTCAAACATTGTGGTATAGATTATCTTTATTTGAGCATGCTTATAACTCTAAATGGTTGCTTGTTAGCTTAGTGATATTTTCTATTTAATGATTGCACTAACTTGATCAACTACATTTGATTTTATATTTACGGTAAGACTTTCGATTCATTCTCTCAAGCAAGATCTTAAACCATAAAATACAAGTAGGTCTGCAAATGAACCAGATGTTCAAAATGCCACTTCTAGCTAGACTCGATTAATGCGTGTTTACAAATTGTTTGATTAACAAATCAAACAAGATGGAACACTTTACTCGGTTCTTAAATAGAGAGACAGAACATAAGATGAAAAAAGAAATCCTCGAATTGAAAAAAAAAAGAAAAAATCTATTGAAAAAATTCACAAATCATTTTTATCATATTTAATAATTATCTTAATATCTAATAAATTTTTTATAATAAAAATCTCTTACAAAAAAATCAATATCTTTGAGTTTTGGAATATAATATTAATAAAATTTTGATTAGCATGCCTCTTCGATCCCACTCTCTTCCTCAATTTAGGCCATCCAATAAAAAAATTCTTATTTATTATTCTTTTTCTTTAGTCCCACATCATAGGAATATTTATATTTGTACTATTTATATTGTACTACAAAACTATTAGAGCTTGTAGCCCACATAGCCGATATGCTAGGAGTTGGTGGGATTTTGTGAGAGGCTCAAGCAAATATTCTAGATAGGATCTTATAAGGCTCGTTTTAAAAGCTCGCGAACTTGAAGTCTTAATTTTTGAGCTCGGTGCTATAAGGCTTGTCAGTATTTTCAAACAACCTCCTTGTTTACAAAATAAATCAAGTTAAAAAAATATGAACATAAAACGAAGTAAGCTTAAACATGATTACAAAAGGTATAATTGAGCTCGAGCGAAACTTGAATAAACTTTTGGTAAATGAGCTCGAGCGAACGTCGGCCGACTCCTGCCCTTCATATAAGTTGAATAAACATTCATTTGCAGTCCTCATATAAGTTGAACCTCAGAGATGTAGAGGCACAACAAAAAGATTAAAAATTGTATGAGTTCCTACCCTAATGTATTACATTATAGAGCCTAAGATTTCTAATATAGAAATAGTATACACTCCAAATTTGGAAGCAATCAACCAATAAAACAAAGAACACAATCTAATAATCATAAAACAAATAGCCTTCAAATACAAATTCACTACAAGGAAAAGAATGATCATGAATGATACAGAAAAATAAGAGTATTTTAAGAATTTATATCTTAACATTTTTTCAAAATCTATTCCAAAATCTAATACTTGATATTTTTAATTTTGACATATTTAATAATAATAAAAAAATAATAATAATGTCTGATGGAGTCAATTCTAATGTCTGAGATTTCTAATACAAATATAGCACACAATGTAGATTTTATGCCATCAACCAATGCAACAAACATGCAACTTTAATTAAAAAAGCAAGATATTTATTTACTACTTTTGATGAATATAGAAAACAATAAAATTTGATTCAAGACAAGATTTTGGCCCTCCAATTAAAAAATTAACAACAATAAAATTAAGTAGCACATGCTACACGAGTGGCTAAAATTTGCAAATAAAAACAGAAACTATATCATAATACATCTGACAAAAATCAATGCATTTTTGAAAAACAGCAGTAGAAGCAAGAGAGATGAAGCAAAAGGAAAAGAAGTAATAAATAGTCAAACAACACAATTGAACAAAGAGATTACCTCTCTCAAAATGGTTCAAGTTTCCCATTTGAACATTAATTAGAATTCCAAAATGAGAAGAATGATTTGCACCTCCATACAATTTTTTATTAAGCCTGAAACTCCAATTTTTTTGTTAATATCTTTTAAACATATAATTAAAAAAACTCAAGAAACCACAAATAAGATAGATATCAAAAGCCGGGAAAAAGCCAAGAAATAATAATTACAACTGCAAGGAGCAAACCTCTCAACCCAAAAAAGAAAAGAAAAGGATAAGCTAGAATAGCATAACCAAAAGAAGAAACTGAAGGAAAGGGCTATACTCCTCCAATCGCTTGGGAATCTCAAAATATAAGTTATGGACTTGCCATGAAAACCAATAGCAAGCACCTGAAAAAAGAATCTAAGACAAGGGAATAGAATTTGTATCTCTACCACCCAATCCTGCCCCCTCTACTTGTTACCCTACTGGGCCTACTCCTACACCCAACATATATACCTCCATCTGCAACTCTAAATCATTTTGATAAGTTCCAGCTCATTGGAGAGCAGATAAGTCTAGGAGTGAGTAGATGAGATGCAAAGTGAAGGAGGTTAGCAAAACAGTAATAGAACCTAGTTTAATTTCAACTGTTGGTGGTTATAGCTTATCTTAACCATTTGGAAACAACTTTACGAACCCACTAGCTTTTATTCCTATTTCTACAAATAAATGAACTGTCACAAATTAGTATGAGAGTGCTACAAGATGTAGTGGAGGTATTCTCAAGATTTCTCTTTCACAGAATAGATTCTATCTAAAATATTACAAGATAAAATCCAAATTTTAATGCTTATATGAATAGCTAAATATCTTAAGGTAACAGTGAACCCAACAATTGGCATTTTCTTATTTCTATTGAGATATGCTGCACTCGGGATTTAATGAACCAAATAACCTAAGAGATTTGTTTAGTGGTAAAGAAAAACACCAACAACATTCTCCACTTAATTCCAACAGCAAGCTAGAATGCAGAAAAACAAGTGCAAACATGTGGACGACCCTACAAAACATGCTACTAACCTAAAGAGCCTACAGTTGTAAAATAATCCCTGGAGCAGTATAATTAAAAAGATAACATTATTTAAGCATGGAAAAAATAGAAGTTAGCTAATAATTTATGACTAAAGCATGCATTCCTAATGGAAATCCAATATAACCCATTTATGCATAAAGCACCTAGTGTATTAATTATTGGAAATAGTCTCTCAAATTTATTATGTTATCTTCATAAAGAAATAGAAGCACTAAAAATAATCAGAAAAGCTCAAAATAAAAGTAATTTCTTTGCACGTAATCCCCATTGAGAAAGACAATGAATCAACTTGGCTTAACATCATTTGATGTAGCATGATTTCTCTCCCAAGTAACAAGCTATCTTGCGATATTTCAATCAAAACATTAATAAACAACACACTGCACATATAAAAAGTATCACATCCTGTAGCTAGTTACTAATGAATATATATATATATATAAATGTCATCAACTGTGCTGTAGCTAGTTACTAATGAATCCTGTAGCTAGTTACTAATGAATATATATATATATATAAATGTCATCAACTGTGAAAAAAATTATTTTAGTAAGTACAATGAGTTCTGTACCACGAACTGATGCGTCATGATGCCTTTGATCAGCCGTTTCACAATTTTGCCTAGTCATTTGCGGGTTTTCAGTGCTGCTGCAGCTAGAACTATTATTAAACAACACACTCCCCGAAGGCCCTGCGTCTTCTGCAAAGCAAATTCAATAAGTACAGGTAGAGATCAAACCAAAATGTAAACTAAACTTATGAAGGGTGAAAGTTCTATTTTTAGTTAAACGTGATAGATAGAGCTATCTGAAATTAGCAGATGACATGTCGAATGGTCTAGTGAGGGCTAAACCTTTTATTGTGTGTAATGCATCAGTAGGCTGAACGGGGACCCATGAGGAAATTGTTCCACTTGTAGAATTTCTAATCACTGATGACCTATCTGATTTGAGAGGATAGCCTGGCTCAGGAAGGCATGGGGCATTTTGAAATGAAGTTGTAGGTTGAGACACTTGGTGTCCTAAGAAAATATTGCACATAAAATATATATTAGCCACAAAACTAATGAAAGTCAATGAAAGTAGTTCTTACCATTTTTAGAAGCCTTCTGAGGATATGGATGAGCAGCTTTGCGCTTGGGCCGAGGAGGCGGGACATGCTCACTAGTTCCATTTTTCTGAACTTTTAAAAAGTATTTTTGTGCATGGCTCCTGATCTGCAAGAATGTATTTTCATAGTCTTTAAAAATTGATGAAGTAAAAAATTATCAACAACAACCCTATTCAACTAATTGAGGTTGCTTCACAAATTTTCATTCTCCATTCATGCCTAATTTCAATGGAGCATCACATGAGGAGCTAATTCTATTTTGTCTATCCATATTACTTCTTAATTATTTAACATCGATATTATTAATCTATATCATTGGTGCATCATATAACAAACATTATTCATGAGCAAACCACAGCATGTCTTTTACAGTATTTAATCTTCAATACTTGCTACTAGTAACATCACCGAAAAAATTATTTCTCAAATATTCTTTCTAATTTTAGCATATGTCCAATTTTTAGCACTTTCATACTGGTAACAGGTCAAATTTTAGATGGACTGGCACTTTATCATTGACACCCATTAATCTACGTTGATCATCAACTCAGTTTTTTACTTCTGGATCCTTCATGCCTCTTTAGATGCTACTTTCATACACTAGAGTTTGATAGCTGATAAAGTCATAGAAGCTACAGTAGCTTGAGATAGTTCAAGAACAACAGCCAAATACATGGTTGATCACAAGTAAGGCAAGACATGGGTGTGGATGCATGATGAATTTTGCAACATACTATTTAAATATTGGATAGCTGTAGCTTAGATCTTTTTGTGCAGTCTTAGGAAATCTACCGTGCAAACTTAATCTGCTACGAAAAGAAATCATTATTTGATGTTCAATATTGTTACTTTAACTTTATATATGATACCAATATGTACATAAGAAAGATTTGGAAATACCTGGATAACTGTCTTTGACCCAACAAATGCTTCTATTTTCTTCCAATCACGATCAAATCTGAACCAAATAAAGCAAGGCACAAGATTAAGATGGTTCGGGGTGGGGAGTGGCCTCAGCACACTTTTACAACAACATCTAAAGAGTCATACACACCATACATACAAATTAGGCAAATCATAAAAGAATATTTTCAATACAGGCTAGCTTGATCTCGTTCGATATGCAGACATAAGCACAACCCAATTTCCTTCAACAACAGCCTAAGGGACAAATTGGTTCACTTGTTTTGCCATTTTCAAGTGAATAATTTTTTTCCTCCTTGTATGCTTGAAGGTCATAAGTTGTAGTTCAACCCTCAATTCCCTTTTTTTTCCTCTCTAAAACAGTTAAAGCAATTAATTTGGCTTGCAGAAAACATAGACTTTCCCCAATTCTAGGAAAAAAATTTAAACATTTGTCATACTAAATGGCTTTGATTGACATTAATCAGTTTTCTTTTCTTGGTATTTTGAGGTGCCCAACGACACGCACCAGCTTACTAAAAAAATAACAAGAAAGCTTCAAACATAAATTAATTAAAATCAAAATACAAGTAAATTAATTAGAGAATTTTTTTTTCGTCAAAAGTCACAGGTTATTGCTATACATTTTGAGATTTATTGCCAATCATTCCCAAAAATAGAATGCTCGTGACAAATTTCAGACGGAAATATATACCAATAGAAAGACTGCTGTCAGATAACTAGCTACCTTCAAACAGTAAATCAATTCCATGTTCAATTAAGCAAGCTCCTTTCAGGTAACGATACAAACAATTGCCCTCCACAAATCCAATCCATGCCAAGTGGAGGCATTTGGAGCCAAGAAAACTAAGGGCCATAGAACCTAATATGTAGTGTTCGAATAATAACGCCATAATTCATTCCAAACCCAGACACAATCCACAGAAAGAACCCAGATCTAGCACATATCACAAGAGATAAATAAACGATTGAGCAAATCACAACATCTAAACTTCAAAAAGCAAGCCAAAACCTAAAAAGAGAGAACGAGAATGAACACATACAGCTGAAGCGCCTCGAGGAACTTGTCGTGTTCTTGCTCGGTCCAGCTCTCTCTCGACTTAGTGATGGTGTATGGCTTCCTGATCTTCTTGTTCGGATCCTCCGAAGAGGTCTCGTCAGCCGCAGCGGAGGTCGTAATAGAGCCCAGCATGTCCTGGAAAGCCATGCCCGCAGGAATCCCAATCCCCTTCTTCTGCTGCTGCTGCTGCTGCTGCTGCTGCTGCTGCTGATGATGAGAGTCCGCACAAAATCCCACTTGTCCTCCGAACTCGCTACCGCCTTCTTCTGCCGCCGGAGTAGACGACAACATATAGATCCGATTCTGCAATCCGCTAGATAAACCTCTTCACGGCCCGCTTCAATTGTCTCCACAACTGGTTCTCTCTCTCTCTCCTGCTCGTGAGGACTTGTGGCTTCCAGCGAGGAAGAGATGTGGCTTTCTCTGCAGACGTTTGGGTTGAAGCGAAATGGTGGGCTTTGTGTGGCGTGCAGCGAGCATTTCCAACCACAACTTCCTTTCAAGGTCGACAGCTCATTATATAAAACAACAAATAAAATATTGCCAGCACCACACCATTTTCATGCAAAAGAAATACATTTTAATATTTTAACTGCACGACCATCCATGCCTTGTTTTCACTTAAAAATTTTGGGCATTATTTATACATTTAATATCTAAGTCTACTTTTTACATTTATATCCTCCAGTCATTGGAATCATATTTAAATATCACTATTTTATTTTTTATTTTATTAATATTTATATATATATATATATTAAAGAAAGGGAAATGATATTTAGTCCGATGGGTCACAAATAATGCTTCCCTCAGTTGGGTCAAAACCCAGTTGTGCTTTGATTGATCCGTAGGGCCCACATCACGGGATTCGAATCCCCCGACCTGAGGGACGTATGCTAGAGGCAGCACCAATAAGTCGAGACGTGGATCAAACACACACACACACACACACGTACGATATTTGATTAATCATATAACCTTCCCAACTAAAATATGATTAAGCTATGACATAAGAAATATCTGCCTAATAAATTACTCCTAATTTTTTTGCTCAAAATTATATTAATGTCATGATTAAATTATCAATTTTCTTCCTCCAAACCTGGAAGATGTTGTTATATCTAGGGGTGTAAAGAAGTAGAACACGAGGGAGTTGAGATTCTATTTGTATTCGGCTTATTTGTAATAACATTTCTTTGAAATCTACTCGTGCACGAATTAGGCTCTTAGTGAGTTTGTTCGTGTTAGGCTCGATATTATTTGATTTGTTTTCGAGTTGTTCGAATTTATTTGTTTGTTTGTTCGTTTTTAGATCGAATTAAATTCTGCTCAATGCTTAAGCAGAAATTTTCAAACAAGCCATGTGAGATTATCTGTTTTTAAACTACTAAGGCTGCAAGAAAAACTTCCTAACAAAAGCCGGGACTAAAAAGCTTTTCTGTTTTTAAACGTTTTGGGTTGTTGGTCTTTGCCTCTCCCATGATTTTCTTTCTATTTTTTTCTTTTTTTTTTTGGTTTGGACATTTGCTTGCATGTCAGTCAATTCCTATGTATACATACAAGCCAATCAATGCCTATGTATTTATATATCGAAGACCTAAATTTTACTTTTACAGGCATTTTTTTTTTTATCCTATGAGAGAATTTTATCAATTTCAAAAAGTGAATACAGCAACCGGCACTACAGGAATTTTTGAAATTTGCGTCTGACATATAAGACGCAAATTGAAGGCAAATCTGATAGTATTGAACTGTAATCGTTGGATTTATGTCTTTTTTTGCGTGTAAAATGGGGGTCAGTAATATAATTTTCAGTCTGTTCAAGTCAAAATAATCCGACACATTTTTTTTTTCTTCTTGTTTGTGTCGACTCTGCATCAGTTATAGTTGAGGCTATGTGTACGTCTGAATTTGCATAGAAAAAATAGTGTTAAAATTAGTGTCGAATTAGTATTAAATAATATCGAAGAATGGTAGATAAAAAAAATTGTCATTTTGCAGTCAGATTTTTGGATCTAAGTCCGACGTAAATCATACGCAAACTTACAAAAAAAAAAAAAACAATGTAAAAAGCGGTTACATTTCCACAACTTGCACGATATATTAAATCCACAATGTAACAATATTTTATACAACCACAAATAATCAATATTAACACATATTATCGCTCTAGTTAATATCAGTAGTGCAAAGTCATAGAATGTAATAAAGTGTCACAAAAAAATAACAATAAAATAAACCAAAAAATCCAGAGTCAACATTTAAAGTAACGCTAAAAATAAATAAAAGAAATACAGAAGGTAATGTCGAACCATCATCTCCCTCCCTCTCCTCCTCCTACTCCTCTACGACTGTCATTGGCGGCTTGCCCACGCGATCAGCTAAACTCTCCACCATGTGTGATATAGAGTCATCAACCCTATGTTGACCTTCTAGCATCTGTACCCTAAACTGAAGGTTCTCTTCATTCATGTCAGCAACTTGGCTGGCTATAACATCTTGGTCTGGCTGTGAAGAGCTCGAGGGATTCAGCAGGGGGCCACTGGAGTTCTCGGTTTTGAAGGTTATGCCCTTCTCACCAAGGTCATAAACCCTCCCAATCTTCTTCCTCGCTGCCTAAATCCGAAGCTCAAACTCAAACTTCCCAGTCGTAGAACAACTACCACTGTTGTTGGCGGAAGTCTTAGGCTGAGTGGCCAGGTACCTCTCCTGGAGCTGCTCAAACTCCTCCTGCAAAATTAAAATCAATGTTTAATTGGGACTTTGAATAGTAAGAGTTAAGACAAAGTTTTAATTTTTTTTTTCACTTACAACAACCTACCGGGAATGCTCCGATACCCATTGTTGCATCCCCGGAAACCGATGAGCTCGGATGTGCAACTCCGCAATAGAGAGCTCACGACTCAACTCCTTGACTTGTGTAGCATTTTTGATTGGTTAGTGTCAGATTTTTATATTAAACATTGAATTTTAAATATTCAAAATAAGCTTTCCAACTTCTTGTAGTGCTCTGTACGACAGACTAATCCACCAATATGGAGTGCAGCTCCCGTGGGCCTCTCCGTTCCTTGATTCATCCAATTTGTCTCCCTCTTCCTCTCTTAAGTAATAGAGGCCCAGGTTGCGGTCACTGACCCCAGAGCTCCTCTCCGATCCACACAGGCCACTTGCCCTTCCAGTAAGCTGTGGTGAACATGTCACTGAGTTGATGCCTGCCCTGAATCACAAAGATCCAGTGGATCTAGTGGTGGTGCTCTGGGGTGAAAGACCTCTGCAAACGTAAAAAATAATTCACGTATTATCATAAAAAAGTAAATTAAATTTTTAGTTCTATTTTAAATTACATGATCACACCTCAAACTCCTAAAACCACAGGTTTGAGTGGCTGCTAGGATTTGCTTTCAGTAGAGATACAACTCACAGCACCTGCTCCGGATAATCTATGTAATGCATGTGACGAGCATTTTGTGGGGAATGAACCTTCTTAAGAAAAAAAAAATAGTTACTGTTGACCGCACTTTTGTGAGGATTTCTCCACTCCCCATAGGAACCTAACACTTAATCTTAGGGATGTCCTAGTAACCTTCTTTGATAACTAGAGGAGGAAACTAAACCACATGAGATTTCATATCAAGGCTATGCTCACATATTATTTCTTGAGGTTAAACCCAAATCCTCAACCCCTGGTTGACATGGTTTAGGGTTTGGCCTGATGATGGTCCAAGTTAACTCCTTGCGAGTAAAGGATGCGCTGGGTTGCCCATGGAACTTAAAACACTAAGAAGCCACAATGGACCTTAGAAATCCCATGACACTATGTCAGCACGCTTATAGATCAGTTTAATTTTAGGTGTGGTTTTAATTTAATTTAATCATATATATATATATATATGTTTTTTAGAAAAACTAGTATTTTTTAATTTTGTAAAAAAGCTAATACTTCAATTTTGAAGATATGAGACCAAACCGATCTCATATAAACAATAGCTTAAATAAACGAGCACGACACCGTAAATAATATATCTAACTCGAAGGATAGATACACTAGTTGCTGGTGGTGCTTGATTGAATAAATTACATAATTTATGACATCCGTTTGGTCTGCAAACCATTTATATAAGTCGATAAGTTCTTTTATTTAATACAAACAATTAGACAGGATTTATATTACCTAGGTTCTTAAAGCTCCCTATAGAAGCAAGCCCCTACAGTCAATTATAACTTAAATGATCGAAGTCACTTAAGAAAACTCTTGATTTAGATCAGAAAATATTGTCTCTAAGAATTCAAAAGGATAACACTTTGCAAAAATTGGAGAGGCTCAAATGGGACATTTATATGAAGTGTCAAATATTGTCTCTAAGAAGTGTCAAATGGGAGAGGCTCAAATTTGGAACATTTATATGGAATCCAAACAAAGAAGAACTATGGTTTGTTAAGATCCTGAGAAAAACCTCAATGACTTCCCAAGTTATCATAAGGTTTGGCTTCAATTTTGGGAGAAAATTATTTAATGTTTCACCTTACCGATTTTATTAGTTAGGGCTTACATGTATGCGAGACGGTTGCACAAATAGTCTCGAAGATGTGAGGATTTAAGTCGTGACGAACGACAACCTCAGAATCAGACTTATATTGCACAACATGATTGTGCAAAGGCCTAAAGATGAGTTGAGGATTTATGTCGCACTACGCGGACAACCTCAAAATTCTACGACTTGTTTAATTCTAAGGAAAGATATGTTGTTGTAGATCCTCGTGCTGTTGCAAATTGCTGTTGTAAAAAGCCGCTCACAGAGTTGGCTTTAAGCTCCTCGGCGAAGTAACAATCCTAAAGTCTAAAGGTTTAAAGGTTTAAATGACAAGTTTAAGTTGATTAGAGTGACATTGGTTAGGATCCCACGGTTCCCTCGTTTCGGTATCAGTATTTTCTTTTGAATTTACTTAGTTTAACGAGTTGTTAAACCCATTTAAACCGGGGAGATCTCGCTAGCAACTGTGTGTTACCTCATCCGAGGGACTCCCGTAAATTCAAAAGGACATGTTATGAAATTGTTGTTTTTCAAAGTATTTATGATTACCTTTGAAAGAGTTTAATTTAATTTTGAAAATTGTTGATTAATTTTGAAAAGTTGTTTGTTTCGCAGGTGAGGTAAGGTTTACAACCAAGCATGTATAATATTTTAAAGCGAAAGTAAATTACAATAAATGAAAGAGAATAAATAAATTATAAAAGCGTGCCTGTCATCTTCCCGCTGCTCCCGCTGAAACATTAGAACTTGTAACAGTTATATAATATCATAAGAAATTTAAATAAATTGTGAGGGTAGATGAAGGTGTAGTTACCAAACATTAAGTCATAACTTGATGAATCCTTAAAGGCTTTAATGGAAAATTTTTTGGAACAAAGAATAATAAGTCCATTTGTCCTTTAAAATATTCAAAAGGTTATAAAAGCGTCTGGGGAATAATCCCTAAC